AACTTTCTTTTTTCATGTAGTAGTGTGCTTGTTCCTGTGTAAGTTTGTACCTTACAAAATCTAATGTCCATTTTCTTCTATACAATTTATATAAATTTTGCAATAAAAAATGTTATCAGGAATTTTAAGAATTTAGTTATAATCTATAAAATTGCTGCAAAGGAAAGTTTTAAAAAATTTGTGTTATAGGGTGTCGTCAACAAGACCATTTAAATGGTCTTGTTGACGACAAAGTTCCTTTGCACTTCAAGCATCTATGCAAAAACTATGACTCTCAAACTTGTGATCAATTAACTTAAATAAGATACGTACTTAATGATATTAATCATGATTTTTTGTAAATTGGTATATAAATTGTTTTTTATAAAAAATAATAAAACAGTACTTTACTAAATAGGATAATGTCAGTCTCTCTGGTTAATGCTATGAACTTAGTTAATGAAACACTTTTAAACTTTTTAAAACTATGAATAACTGTATTTTTATAAAAATCTGTGAAACTAATACTCAATTGTGATTTTAATAACCCAGCAATTATTTTAATTTGGATTTGCAGTGATTCTTTTATAAGCATTTTGAGCAGTTTATTGAAGTTTTACTCGTAGGTTACTTAATGGATTCGATAAAAGTGACTAGCCAGTAACTCTTTTACATGTAATATAAAAGCTAGTTGTTTGCTATATGGCGGCTGCCATCAATGGTTTACTATGTAACTAATAATCTTTTTTACAGTGGAAAAACAGTGAGAAACTCTCAAAATGCCTTTAAAAGTCTACTAAAATTCCGCTGTAAAATGTTTGCTGCGAAGGTTGTTTAAAACAACATTTTCTTGTGTGTAGTTTTTTCATAAAGTCAAAATTAACTTAAAAATACTTAAAAAATGTATTACTTTGATTTAAAAAAATACGTCAGAGGATTGTTGTAAAGTTTTTATTCTAAATTATTGAAAAATAGTGTTATTTGTGTATTCAAAATGAGCGCATTTGTTGACTATAAACGTTGTATTAAAAGCTTTATTTATTTTTTTAAAGATTTTTTTCATAAAGGTTCAATATATAGTTTTATATTCTGTAATAAAAAAATTCCCCTGTTTTAAGACTTTGAATGATTTCCGTTCGATTTTACAATTATTATTTGCATCAATTTTATTTTTTTGGATAAAAAAATAAGTTTTTTATTAAAATAATAACTTAAAAATTATTTTAAAATAGACCTTTCAAAATCATTTATAAGCGAAAACTAGAAAGTTCGGTAATGCAACTTGTGCAGTTTCGGTAATGCAACACCTCACGGTTAAAACCTAATTTCCAAAAAATCTTTTTCAAAATTCAATTTTATTTTTTGGATAAAAAACTTATTTTTTTATCCAAAAAATAAAATTGATGCAAATAATAGTTGTAAAATTCGATTTAGTAAATATTACATCCACTAAAATAAAATTTCTTAACAATGTATAAAAAAAAAATTTATTAAACGTTTTTTTTGAAAAGCCAAGTAGGAGATTTGTTAACTAATATATTATATAAAGTTTACTTGAACTCAGAAACTTAAAAATGCTACGATGATATGAAAAATTTCAAAATTTAGAAAGGTGGGTTTATTTAGTTTATAGCTTGATTTGAAGAAAATGATTTAAAAAGCATACCCGAATGTCATTTTTATGATCCCCATGCATACACCCACTTTTTCAATGCATTCGGTTATGCAACGCATTTTTTAAAACGGCTCTTATATTTACAGTTTTTTTTCAATATTTTTTTTAGAAAATGACATATCTAAAATTTTAAGATCTTTCTTATTGGTAATACTGAAAAAGAAATTAAAAAATATTAGGCGGAACGGCAATAATCTGAAATCCTGTGAGCCGATGACCCTGTTGCAATAACGAACAGAGAACCATATACTGAGGAAAATTATGATGATAATGATCATCATCATAATAATGAAAATTATGAAAATGATGATTGTCATCATCACCATTATCATCATACTGATGATTATAATGATGGTAAAGATGATAATCGTCATTATCATCATCATAATTTTCATTATCATCGTCAAGCTTTCGGCTTTATGTTGTTGATGATGACGATGATCATGATGATGATTATGATGGTAATGATGATGAAAATAATGATTATGATGATCATGTTAATCATGTTATATTTATATATATATATATATATATATATATATATATATATATATATATATATATATATATATATATATATATATATATATATATATATATATGTATATATATATATATATATATATATATATATATATATATATATATATATATAAATATAATATATATATATATATATATATATATATATATATATATATATATATATATATATATATATATATATATATATATATATATATATATATATATATATATATATATATATATATATATACATATATATATACATACATCTTTATGCATATATTAGGTACGTGGAAATATCCGTTTTACGGAACCGAATTTTGTGCTAAAAAACTGTACCACGCTTTTTAAATTTTTTTTTAACTAGCCTTGGGAAGACGTGTTTAGTTAGAAAACTTTTTTGAATTTGATATCAATATAGATTATTTTTAGAAACTAGAATAGTTAATCTTTATTACTGTGAGCTTCATTTATTTACTGGATGGCTTTTTTATTCAGTTTTTTGATGTCTAAAACTTTGGTTGTAATTTGGGCATGAAATTAATGTCGAAGATATGCTCTTTTTTTTTCTATACTATCCTTTTTTTTAAGTTTTTCATTTATCTATGCACCTGGAAAATTTCATTGAAAAAAAAATTGTAGCAGGGTGTCTATTTTTTGTCGCACTTTTGCTACCTAATTTTCAATTTTGCTGAAGTGGTCGCGGGAGACAGAGGGGTTAAACAAACATTGTTTATATTTGATTTTGATTAAATGAAATGTTCTGTTTTTTTTTAGATTAAATAAAATAGAAAATAAAGATGTTGATAAAGGTTTACAATATTGTTTCCTATTTATTAAAATTTTAAAAAAATTATTTGCCTTCAATGTTACATTGAAGGCAAATAATTTTTTTAAAATTTTAAAAAATTCATAAATAATATAAATAAAGTTAATAAATTTCAATAACTTTACATTGAATGTTAAGTTATTAAAATTTATTAACTTTACATTGAAGGCAAACAATTAAATTTAAATGAACTTTAATGTTTCAATTACTTTAGAGTTGAATTTTTTAAAAATGTAACAGACATATTAGTAACATTATAACATATTTTATCTTAAATTTTAAGTTTCTCCAATAACAATTGTAATATACTACTACTAGTAGTATATTGCAATTGTTATTGGAGAGACTAATTGTTGTATCATGATGATACAACAAGTAGTACTACTACTTGTTGTATTATCGTTATACAGCAATTAGTCTCTCCAATAACAATTGTAATATACTACTAGTAGTAGTATATTACAAATGTTATTGGAGAGTCTTGTTGTATCATCATGATACAACAATTAGTAGTATATTGTAATTGTTATTGGAGAAAAAAGTCTAGTTTTTACCAAGACTTTTTCAGGAAAAGATGCACGATAATCATCTTTTTTTTTAATGATTAACTGTTAATCTTTCAATTGTAACAAATAATATGAATAAAATATGGTCATATTTAACTAATATATGTTAGCAACCTTATTCAACTTTTATGTATAACAAAATTTATTACACATTAAAGTTGAATAAGGTTGCTAACATATATTAGTTAAATTTGAACATATTTTATTTACGCTATTTGTTTACATTTATTATAAATGTAACGTAACTAATCAAGAACATTTGTTATATTGTTTTAGCTGCCCAAAGCAGTCCTACGGCAGCAGCCAACAATATAAGTTAGTTATTTTAAACATTCAATATTCATTAGTTTCTTTTAACTTAAGATCAGTAGATTTATTCAAATGTTTGTATTATTTTGCTAAAAAAAGTTTTTCATTTGTTTTTTAGATGATGCTTTTGAGAGGATAAGTCATTTTTTTTTTGCGATTTACTATTTTAGTATTTAGTCTTTTACTCTCAATATTTAATTATATATTTTTATTATGCTATGTGTTTTGTACCGATTTTTGTGCATCCACAAAGTTTTTTCACAGTTGTTTATTTTGTATATTCCTGATTATTTCTTGCTTTTTATTGCGTCATTGTTATTTTTTTTTCTATAGACAATTTAGAACTAACTATTAGTAAGTAAAGTTTGAACTATTTTAGTTTTTTAGTCATTGAAACTTTTTTTTTTGTAATGTTAGTCTGATAATTTAATTTTATAATAAAGTTAGTATATTTAAATTGGCTTTTAGGTGAATTCAGACAGCAGTTTTGTAAGTTTAGTAAGTTTTAACAGTTTCAATAGTATAGTTTAATGATTCATGCTAACATTATTATTTAATTGATACACGTTAAAGGTGTTTACTTTATTGACACACGCTAACTAAAGATGTAACGAAAAGTGTAACTTGAAATTAAGTTTATTTTAGTAAACTATTGTTATATTACTATTGTTACAATTTATTCCTTTTAATTCTTTAGCAACACTTACTTCATTAATTTGTAAGAGATTAAGGTGTATTTTTAGGAGTAAGTATTAAGAAATATAGTTTGATTTTGTGTATTAAGCAGTATTGTATTATTTAATATGTACTATGTTATTGTATTTTTAATATGTACTATGTACTATGTATGTATATTTACTATGTACTATGTACTATGTATGTATATACATATATAGTACATAGTACTATGTACTATGTATGTATATTTAACATGTAATATTTACATGTACCTTTTAATTTTTTGTGTCATTGTATTCTTTAATCTTTCATATCCTTGTCATCTGTTGCAGCTGGTAAGGTTTCTAATCTATGATATTTCAAAATTATTTATATGGCAAGGTAATTGCAAGAGTTAGTTTTTTGTTCATTACACTTTTTTTTTTTTTTTGAAGTGTCATCTATAGCTGCTCTATCTGGTAAGGTTTTTTTTATTTTAACTTTTTAATATATTTTTAATATTTAAATTTTAATAACAACTTCAAGATTGGTATGTGTATTATATGTTTCCATATTTTAAAGTTATTTAAAGATTGTATTTTTTTACTTTGTAACATGATTTAAAAAAATAATAAAAAAAATCATGCAATATATTTTATCCCGATCCAACTGATAAGTTTATTTATTTTAACTTTGTAATAAGACTTTCATAGCAAGGTAATTATGAAAATAATAAATTATTATGCTTTTTTTTTATTTTTTTATTTTAGTACCACCATTATCTGTTTCAGCTGGTAAGGATAAATATATTATAATTTTGCAGCATTATTTTAAACACAAAATAATTTAAAGAATTTTGTTTGTATTATGTTTTTAATTTTTTAGTTCCACCTTCCACTGATCTAACTGGTAAGGTTGTATACTTTTATTTGCAATATGATTTGCAATAAGATTGTGTAAAATGCTTTTTCATTTCTTTTTTAGTGCCATCATCATCTACTCCAACTGGTTAGTATATATGTTTTAACTCTGCAATATGAGTTTAAATACAATTTGTTATTAAGATTGTGTAAAATGCTTTTTTATTTCTTTTTAAGTGGCATCTTCATCTGCTCCAACTGGTTAGTATATATGTTTTAACTCTGCAATATGATTTTAAATATAATTTGTTTTTAAGATTGTGTAAAATGCTTTTTTATTTCTTTTTAAGTGGAATCTTTATCTGCTCCAACTGGTTAGTATATATGTTTTAACTCTGCAATATGACTTTAAATATAATTTGTTTTTAAGATAGTGTAAAATGCTTTTTTATTTCTTTTATAGTGCCATCATCATCTTCTTCAACTGGTTAGTATATATGTTTCAACTCTGCAATATGATTTTAAATAAAATTTAGTTTTAAGATTGTGTTAAATGTTTTTTGATTTTTTTTAGTGCCATCATCATCTACTCCAACTGGTTAGTATATATGATTCAACTCTGCAATATGATTTTAAATAAAACTTATTTTTAAGATTATATATAATGCTTTCTTATTTCTTTTTTAGTCCCATCTTCATCTGCTCCAACTGGTTAGTGTATATGTTTCAACTCTGCAATATGATTTTAAATAAAATTTATTTCTAAGATTGTGTATAATGCTGTGTTATTTCTTTTTAAGTGGCATCTTCATCTGTTCCAACTGGTTGGGTTAATTATGTAGTATAATTTTAAATTTTGAGTTTTATATCTCTGTTATCTAATATTATATGATACTTGTTGAAAATAAATTCTTTTTTAGTTCTTAACTATGAAGAATATTGCCAGTATAGAGCTCACCACCCAGGGCCACTGTCGCACGCTTCTTTTTTCCGTTGGTTGCGTTATGGGGGGGGGGGGGAAGACAGGCAATCTTTTGAATGGTCTTGTTGCCCCCCATACTTGGGTGGTGAAACCCATCAACGTAGAGGTGGTAGAAGAGGAGGCAGAAAGGGTGGGCTAGCCAATGTGTATGTCCAATGCTAGTCCACCTTCCTTTTTTGTTTTATTTAAAATATACTTTTCTTAAAAATTGTAACTTGTGTTTTAATAAGAATTTTTAAACTAAGTAGTAATTTCGTAGGAAAACCTTAATGGTTAATTTGTTAAGAAAACTCAAAGTTAAGTGCTAATAATTTAAAGTTTATCAAAATAGATTTGTAAATTGCTTTAGAAAAGTTTTAACTTAAAAAATTAAATAAATTTTCATTTTGTTCCTCTTTTGTATCCGAAATTAGATAGGAAAACCTTGATAGTGAATATAGATTTCTTTTCATGAAATTTAATTTCTTTAAAATTGTTATAATAAAATTTTTGTGTTGTACTCTAATATAAGAATTTTTTGAGGAGTTTTTGTTTAAGTAGCTTCTATTTTTAGTAAATTAAATTGTGAATGATTTTATTGGTTTTAAAACCTCCATTTCAACCACTTATTTGTTATCAAAGGTATGCATATTGTTTGACTAAGTTAATACAAAAAATTTTTTTTTTTTTTTTTATTAAGTAATAGTGTAATTTTGTTTTGTGTAAATGTGTTGATTTATTACTGTAAAATAAAATTTAATTATATAAAATTTAATCTTATGAAATTATAAAATTTTTTGGGTTATTTGTTGTAATTTTTTTATTAAAGGTGAAATGGGTCCATAAAAAAGCTATTGATATTTCGTGGAGCAGCCAACAAATATTTGACTGCTAACTTTAAATTACCTTATGATGCAAATATTCAGTGTAAAAATGGACACATACTTTTTATTTTCATTAACAATGGTGAGTTATATATCAAAACTGTCAAACAAGTTGATAAGTTATTGAAATTTAACACTTACACAAATCATATCCAAAATGTAGATAATGTAGCAAAAAAATGGACAAGTAGCTATAAAAGGGACAGTAAATATTTTGATGATTTTTGCAATGAACTCTTTTCATGTTATATACCTAACTTGACAATTTCACATTTATCTCAGCTTTGCTCTAGTGTTTCCCCTGTAGTTGTATCACCTGGAGAACACAACAGTTTTTTGTCTGTTAAAGATAATGAACTGTTATCTTCAGCAAGTTGCAGTAATAGTTTAGAAGTTATTCGCACTTCAAGACAAGAAATGACAAATAGAGAAAAAAAATTAAAGAGTAGAGCATCATATTTAGCTACTCAGTTGGCTGATTCTTCTAGAAAATATCGAAGCAATATAACATTAGTTAAATCAAAATTAATTAGCATGCCATATAAACTAAAGTTTTTAAGGCAAAGTGTTACAAGAAAAGAAGACATCATAAAAGATTTAAGGACAACATTGACAAAATTAATAAAAAGAAGGCAATCATATTATTATAGTCGACATATTCGTAATCATATAGCTACAATAATAACTTTAAAAAGTAGTGAAAAACAAAAGTTGCAGTAACTGAAGGTCAAACATAACACAGATACAAGGGGAATTAAAAAGGTGATTGCTAGTTTGGAAAATGATTTGCTTGAGAGGGATGAGAATGAAGCTACACTTTTAAACTTTACTGAAAAAGAAAAAACATATTCATTACAGATGAGAATGATAATTTATAACATGTTATTGTGTACTGTCCCAACAGGTAGCATTCCATTATCGATTCAGAAAATTGGGCAAATTATGGGTTTTGTTTTTACTAATATTCCCCATTGTAACACTGTTGAACAAATAGCCCGTGAGCTTGGTAGTATATCAAGTTTGCAAGCAGCTGAATGGGCTATCACAAATAGTCAACTTACTCTTGGTTTTGATGCAACAACACAAGAAGGTGTCCATATTAACAGTATTCACTTAACTTCTAAAGATAAATGTCTAGTCGTTGCTCTAGACCAATTGCCTGGTGGAACTGCTGAGGATTATGAAAAGCATATATGTAATGCCATTGATCATATGGCTTTTATTTATTCAGATTTTCACTTGTGTAACTATTATGAATCTTGTAATTCAATTATTAAAAACATTTCAAACACAATGTCTGACAGAGTTGTTGTTAATCATCTCACCATCAGCAAAGTATGTGCTACATGGGGAAAAAATCTTAATGAAATGAACTGCCATTTGCACCCTCTTAATACCATTGTCACATCATGTCGCTCAGCGTTAAAGTCCCTTGAGAATGAGAGTTGTAAATTGTACGGAAATGACTGTATGGCAACTTTGATAGTTTTGGCTATGAATTAAATGAGATATAAAAACGTCAAAGGTGATCCGCAAGGTTTTGTAAGTTTTTTAGATAATAAAAAATTACCACGTGGTATTATTCCAAAATATTGTGGAAACCGACTACACATTCTTTTCCATACTTGTTTTATTTTGATGCAGCAATATAGTGACTTTAAACATAATCTCACAATTGGAACAGTAAAATGTAAAAGTTTACAGGATACTCTTCAAGCTGCTTTTTGTAATACAACCGCCATTAAACAAATGTGTGTGCTTGCGGTATTTGGAAAAGTTCTTACTGGACCTTGGATGACATTGTTTTATATAACAACAGAGCATGCAAATTTTGATCATGTTGATGGTATCCAGGTAGTGAAGAATGTTTTACAAACAGTTCAAGCATGCAAATCCAATCCAGCTGATTTGTTTTTCAGACAGATTGATTTTTTTGGAAATTCGCTTAAAATAGACATTTTAAAATTAGTTACAAGTTTATGCACCATTGATGAAGAGCTATTAAAATGACTTCTGCTTGTCTAAATGCAGTGGAAGATGTTTTAAATAGACAGTATAGTAGATATTTTTCACTTAATATTACCGAAAAATTAAAAGAAGAGACAGCAAGCGCAAGGCTTCACACTATGGATAGTGAGGAGTTGATAGGTATGTTTAGCGATGCCAAAGTACGTTACCCTAACGCAACCATTTGCTATATTTCTTGCAAACTTAGATCGAAAAAGAATAGTACTGTGGATTATTTAGACAGTGTAGATCTTAATTTGAAAGATAAAGTTGCTAAATGGTCAGTCCATGCAGCGCATAGAAATAGAGTTAGAAATCGATTGCATCAGGCTAAAATTAGAGCCAGTATTAGCCAAAGACAGGCATCCAAGTGCCAAAAAATGGGTAAAAAAGAAAAAAGAAAATTAGAGCATGAACTATCCAAGCTAAATTATGATGAAATTATAGATTCATACAAAAACTTGTCTAATGACCAACTTTAAGATTTAGAAGATGTTATGTCTGGAAGAATTGTAGGCAAAAAACTATACCATGAATGGTACGATCCAAATACATCCAAGCCTGTTTTGTATAACGGCAGAGTAGAAAAAGTTAGTAACAGAAAAAAGGACTTAGTTTACACAATTTCTTATTGGAAAGATGATGAAACAGATATGGAAGCTGTCGACCATTGCATGAAAAAGATCCAGCTTGTTGCAGATGTTATTTCAGAAGAGTTACAATTTTATTAATTTTGTATGATATTATAAAAACCTTGTGAAAGTATAATTTTGAAATTTATAAGCTTAACAAAAGTACTTCAAGTGTTGTGACTTGCTCAACAAATGTACTGCAAGTGTTGTGATTTGCTAAGAAAAAGTACTGCAAGTGTTGTGACTTGCTAAACAAAAGTACTGCAAATGTTGTGACTTGCTAAACAAAAGTACTGCAAGTTTTGTGACTTGCTAAACAAAAGTAGTGCAAGTGTTGTGACTTGCTAAACAGAAGTACTGCAAGTGTTGTGATTTGCTAAGAAAAAGTACTCCATGTGCTGTGACATGCTAAAAAAAGTACTGCAAGTGTTGTGATTTGCTAAGAAAAAGTACTGCAAGTGTTGTGACTTGCTAAATAAAAGTACTGCAAGTGTTGTGATTTGCTAAGAAAAAGTACTGCTTGTGCTGTGACATGCTAAAAAAAAGTACTGCAAGTGTTGTGATTTGCTAAGAAAAGGTACTACAAGTGTTGTGACTTGCTAAATAAAGTACTGCAAGTATTGTGACTTTGCTAAGAAAAAGTACTCCATGTGCTGTGACATGATAAAAAAAGTACTGCAAGTGTTGTGACTTGCTATGCATTTTTGATAGACGGCTCTGGCTTACCTTCGCGTGGTGTCTATCGTTAAAAATGATTATAAAATAATTTCATTATTGGTATTTGAAATTGTAATCATTCACTAAAAGCCAAGACAAAACTTATTATTTTAATAATGCTTTATGAAATAAAGCATCATTAAAATAATCACACATTATTCAGTGAAAATAACATTTTATTTGTTCTTTAGTTTGAAACAGCCGAACCTTTCGTTAACCAAGCTACTATCAATCACTATATGAAAGATTGGAAGATTTATAAAGGTTGGTAAATACCTTCTTTTGATTACCTTTTTGTCATTATTTATTGCTAATAGAAGTCACTAAGTAATAGAAGAATATTTAAACAACTAATTCTTTTACTTCTTTGTTGTTGTACTTTAAATACCCAATCGGTTATTTCATAACTATTCTTTTATTTGATATTAGGGTGTGTTAAAACATCATCAACACATTTATCATTAGTTTCATGTTTACCTTCAATGTTTTGTAGTTGTCCGGTATTAATTTATAGAACCTTTTTAATACAGAAAAAACACTTTGTTTTAAGACTTTATTAAAACAGAATTTGCGTTATTGTAATTTTTTATTTTTTAGGTTGGGGGGAGGGGTTACACGCCCCT